TATACATACATGCATGAAAGTGAAAAGCACAATGGAAAGAAAAATTGTGCAGTGTATATAGGCCTACGAGGAAGAAAACGTAGAATTAAATGAGATAGAGAAGGCAATGTGAAATATCAGGGCTATGTATTAATGTATTCATGAGTTATTTATGCATGACCTTTTTCATGAACGTGTCGACCGAACTGACTGAATCTGGATCTTTAAAGGTCGCACGTTTCTTAGACTTTGATTTACAGTAAGTCGAAAGCAGGTTAATTAAACTGAAAGGGATTCGGATGCTTATATCACTTGTTTACTGTCCTGCCTCTCTGCTTATACTTTTTCCTTTCTCTCTCTCTCTCTCTCTCTCTCTCTCTTCTCTCTCTCTCTCTCTCTCTCTCTCTCTCTCTCTCTCTCTCTCTCTCTCTCTCTCTCTCTCTCTCTCACACACACACACATACACACACACTGAGCGCGTAAGATTCGACTCGTGACTCGAAACCGTAAATGAAACAGAGGGTGCGAATAACCCGGACAATAAAACGTAAAATAGCTCAAATACCCATGTCGAGGGCCGGAATGAGACCGTGATCGCATGCATAGGATGTTCGTCTTTCGTGACACATTCCAGCGTAATGTTGGATGGAGCATTCTTATGACGGTGCCTTAGGTTTCGAATCATGTGATCAAAGCATGCGGCGCACGAGGTTCGAAAACTTCAGGCCGCGCTTACGTTTGATTTTACTTGTTATTCCTGTTATTATCGTTGCTGTTTATTGGTGTTTATGGAAGTTCGTACCTTATCCTTTATTTATTTCGTCCGTTGATTTGTTCTGAGTCAAAATTAGCGAAATGTGATTGAGAACCACTTCTAAAAATAGAATGTTTGTTCCTCTCCTTGTCTCGTATATATCGAGTCCAGTAATACTCCACCAGTTTTCGTGGCTTTTCATGTCCATATATAAACCGGGTATTACAAAATCCAATATACTATTTTATGTTTATGCAGGAAAATCATAGGGAATTAATGAAGATTCATGGTTTTGGGGCTGCAAGTTCACCCGGGAGTATGTAGTGAATAAGCCAATATTGACCCGAAACTTCTGAAGCATTTTTTTCCTTTTTTTTCTTTTTTTTTATTTTACTAATTTGTTTTGTGTCGGTTTATAAGGATTGCGAAGGCGATAATAGCTAACGTTAAAGTCGTCTATTTAGGTTTAATTTGTCTCAGAATCTGCAATTCATACATAACGTGACCTAAACGTGTTATTATTATTATTATTATTTAACATTTCATACGAGACGGAATCATGGCAAAAATTACTTTTAAGATAATGAATCTCATGCTCATATCTTCGAATATTACATATATATGATGATAATTTCTATTTGTTTTTCACTAGATTAAGCAATTCTTTCGACAGATTGTACCATTGTCGAAAATCATATTTATTCCCGCACAACGACGATGAATTTTCTTATATCTCAACTACGCTGATGTAGGCCTATCTTAGGTTTATATTTGAAAAAATAGGTTTAATAATACGCTACAAACGACCTTATATCGTAAATTATTATTAGTGTTAGTACTATCGTTGTTATTTTTTTTATTTGTTGCTGTTGTTGTTGATATTGTTGTTATTATTATCATTAGTAGTAGTATTTCTTTTATTATTATTATTTTTATTACCACACTAGTAGTAGTAGTAGTAATACCATCATTGTCATTATTAGCAACATCATTCTTATTTTATTGTTTTCATTGTATTTATTATTATTATTATTATTATTATTATTATTATTATTATTATTATTATTATTATTATTATTATTATTATTATTATTATTATTATTATTATGTATCATCATATCATATCATTATCATATTATATTATTATTATTATTATATTATTATTATTAATTATTATTATTATATTATTATATATTATTATCATTATATTATATTATCATTATCATTAATCATTATTCATTATTATTATTATTATTATCATCATTATTATTATCATTATTTTCATCGTTTACACCGAATCCTCGGGTCCTCCTCCTTCCTTCATACCTCCCTTCCCCTCCTCTCACCTCCTTCATCCACCTCCTCATTCATCCTTCATCCTTCATTCCACCTCCTTCATCCACCTCCTTCAACCTCTTCATTCTTCATCCACCTCCTTCATTCCACCTCCTTCACACGACCTCCTTCATCCACTCCTTCATCCACCTTCATTTCACCTCTTCACACGACCTCCTTTCATCCACCTCCACCACCTCCTTCATCCATCCACCTCCTTCATCCACCTCCTTCATCCACTCCTTCATTCTCCTTCATCCACCTCCTTCTTCACCTCCTTCACACGACCTCCTTCATCCACCTCCACCCACCTTCCTTCATTCACCTCCTTCACACGACCTCCTCATCCACCTCCTTCATCCACCCTTCATTCACCTCCTTCACACGACCTCCTTCATCCACCTCCTTCACACGAACCTCCACCTCCTTCATCACCACCTCCTTCATCCACCTCCTCCTTCATCCACCTCCTTCATCCACCTCCTTCACACGACCTCCTTCATCCACCTCCTTCATCCACCTCCTTCATCCACCTCCTTCACACGACCTCCTTCATCCACCTCCTCATCCACCTCCTTCACACGACCCCTTTCATCCACCTCCTTCATCCACCTCCTTCATCCACCACTTCATCCACCTCCTTCACACGACCTCTCATCCACCTCCCTCACACGACCCCTCCTTCATCCACCTCCTTCATCCACCTCCTTCATCCACCTTCATCCCTCCTTCACCTCCTTCCTTTTCATCCACCTCCTTCATCCACCTCCTTCATCCACCTCCTTCACACGACCTCCTTCCATCCACCTCCCCTCACACGACCTCTTCATCCACCTCCTTCACCACCACCTTCATCCAACCTCCTTCACCCACCTCCTTCACACGAACCTCCTTCAATCCACCTCCTTCACACGACCTCCTTCACACGACCTCCTTCATCCACCTCCTTCATTCCACCTCCTACGACCTCCTTCACCACCTCCTTCACACGACCTCCTTCATCCCCTCCTTTTCACACGACCTCCTTCATCCACCTCCTTCACACGACCTTTCCCTCCTTCACCGACCTCCTTCATTCCCTCTTCATCCTCCTTCATCCGCCTCCTTCATCCACCTCCTTCATCCACCTCCTTCATCCCACCTCCTTCATCCACCCTCCTTCATCCACCTCCTTCATCCCCCTCCTTCATCCACCTCCTTCATCCACCTCCTTCCACCTCCTTCCGCCTCCACCTCCTTCACACGACCTCTTTCATCCACCTCCTTCATCCACCTCCTTCATTCATCCAACCTCCTTCATCCACCTCCTCCTTCACCACCGACCTCCTTCATCCACCTCCTTCACACGACCTCCTTCATCCACCTCCTTCATCCACCTCCTTCACACGACCTCCTTCATCCACCCCTTCACCACCTCCTTCATCCACCTCCTTCATCCACCTCCTTCACCACCTCCTTCACACGACCTCCTCATCCACCTCCTTCATCCTTCATCCTCCTTCATCCACGACCTCCAGCCTCCTTCATCCACCTCCTTCAGTCATGCCTGACCAGCTCTTGTCATTGTCTCGGCCTGAGAAATGACCAAGAGAGAATTGGTTGACACTTTTATGTCTTCACATCACGGGGTCGAGTGGAATTTACTTTTGTTGTTGTTTGTTGTTTGTTGGTGGTGGTGGTTGTAGTGATGAGATGGTGATGTGATTGTTATTATTGTTATTATTATTGTTATTATTTGTTATTATTTTATCATCATCATCATCATCATCATCATCATCCATCATCATCCATCATCATATCATTATCAATTTCATTATCATTTATTATCATTATATTATTATTATCCTTATTTTTATCATTATTGGCATTATTATAATCCTCATCATTATCATTATCATTATTATTATTAGCTACTACTACTACTACTATTACTACTACTATTAGCATTATCATTACTGTTTATTATTATAATTGATATCAATATAAGTTTTTTTTAATTATTTTGCATTCCTTCGATAATTAAAAATACTTCTTAGTCATGTCTTCTTTATTAAAAAGAAAATTGTCTCAAGAATGCGCTTAAAGGTCATCTTATCTCGTGCACTGTCATTAGTAGTAGTGCAGTCTTGCTGTTATTATTTTTATCGATATCATTGCTTTTTGTTATCATGATTGTATTGTCATTATTAGTATTATTGTCTTTTCGTTGTTGTTGTTGTTGTTGTTGTTGTTGTTTGTAGGAATAGGAATATTAGCATTTTTATCTTTTTTGTTATTGTCACTTTTTGTTGTTATTCATTGTTCATCATTATCATCATGTTACTGTTACTATTGTTGTTATTGTTGTTGTTATTATTATTATTATTATCATTATATTACCAGTCGGTTATCATTACCATTATTTTTTATGATGTTGTTATATCATTATTGTCATCATCAGCATAATTGTTATATTATTATTATTATTATTATTATTATATATATATTATATTTTATTATATTATTATTATTATTATTATTATTATTATTATTATTATTATTATGCTATATCCATCATTTTTGTTGATGCTGTTATCATCATCATCATCATCATCATCATCATCATCATCATCATCATCATCATCATCATCATCATCATCATCATCATCATCATCATCATCATCATCATCATCATCATCATCATCATATCATCATCATCATCATTCATCATCTCATCATCATCATCATCATCATCACTGTTATTGTTATTACTATTATTATTGCCGTCATCAAACTTTCCAGCAAATAAAAGAATAACATACAAAACGCACAACAACAACAAAACCAACAAACAGACACAAAAAAAAAACGAAAACGAAAACGAAAGAAAGAAAAAAAATCTAAAAATTTTTTTTTTTAAAAAGTTTCCCCTTCCTCCTTCCCCTCAGCTGAC